TGGTTTGTTGACAGTGCAGTAGTCCAAACGTCAGAGTAGTCGGTTCGAATTTTTCAGCAAGTACTCGTGGATTCTTTTGAACACTCGTATTCTTCTATTTGTATTGAAGAAGTATCCCCTATACCTCGCCGAGAACGTCTTCCCAGTTCTGCTCGCTGCAGATCTGGTCCATAGATTTGTATACTTCTAAGATCTATATCGAGAGATGGAGAATTCGCGTGGATCAGATTGTGGTGGCAAAGTGACTTCTATTGGTAGGCTTTGGTTGAGCGATTGTAATGTCTGGTAGGGGATTTCGAGGCATTTTTAGAATAGCATTTGGTTCTTTAGAAGATTCAAAGTTCTTTCGAGTGGAAGGTATGAAGCTTGGGTTAGGAGATCCTTTCGAGAATCTTTCCGTGTTTTTGACAAGTTAAATGTATTTTCTTTTATTTCAACTCGGAACATTTACGAATGTGGCTTGAAACTTTTAATTCTGCGCTTCTTTAAACCCTGATTGGTAACAGAAGTTCGGAAGAGTCAGATTTAGCTTGGCAAAAATAGGACTTTCGTAATGGCTTTTCTTTGAATTCTTTGACAGCCTTTGGCTCTATACCGCGTTGAAAATAATTACAGGCTGCAATTTGAGTCTTCCATCTCCGTTAATGCCACCTTTGTATAGACTAAGTTTTAAAATTTCTCTATCTATATTTAGCAATTAAACCAAAAATAATGATTTTTAACATAATCAATTGCCAAAAACATAACAGTTACTTTCAACGTAATTTCAGATGATCCTTTACTCTGTTAAGAAATTTAAAAAATTCCAAATTGTTAATTAGAAAATTGTCAAGAAAAGTTGAAATAAGCTGTAAATATCTTCGAAGCCCATTACAAAGTCCAGACCATAATTCATCCGAATTTCACTCGTACGAAAGCCTCCTCCACGTCCAATTTTGAAAGATTACCCCCTTCAGCTTCTCCAAGAGCAATATCACGATCAAACTGATTTATTTGCCTGATTTTCCCCACCTCCGCCTCCGCCTGAATTCTTGTCCAACGACTTTACTACAAATTTAAACAGATTTCCTGGTGGTAAATAACACTTATCTGCCATCTCGCTTTCTCCGATCTCGCGTCAAAGAATACTTCAGGATGTTCGAAAAGTTTCAACGATGAAGAGCAGTTGCACGTTACGCAATTACCATTGTACCTCGTATTCCTTTTATCACGAGAGAAAGAAGAGAGAGAAAGAAAAAGTTGAATTAAATCGCGCTCATTTATCCCGATGTCTGCTTTTTCTCTCTGACTCTATCACAATACGCGCTGTCTCTTTATGGACTTTTACCTGGAATTCCTCTTACACAAGCAGCATCGTACCCTCGAAACCGATTAGCCCCACCAATTAACTAATTATCGAAACTCTTTGTAACAAGCACTCGCGAAATTCCCCCTTTTGCTTTTGCATCGACGGATTATCTATGCGGTATCGAGCTCGGACTTTTACTCGCGAAGCAAATCGAGTTAAATAACGAATGCCTTAATCTCGAGACAGATCGAGTAATGAAAGCTAGGCTGGGAAGTGTAGTCGTAGCAAATAGACGATTCGAGAATGAACACCGTATGAATTAACAATACTAATTTTTATGGAATCGATGGGTTCCTTACTTTCTTCCACCTTTCTTCCCCTTCACCGGTGCGTATGTGTTCTAGGCCGATTGGGCATTTCAGATACGCGGAATGTATTAATTTTCTTGTAATATCGATGCTTGCAGTGGGTACAGTGTTTGCGTAATTCCCCGAGTTATTTAATAATTCAGTAATACCTGCGAAAATTTTCTTCCAATTTCAAAATTACTATTTAATTATCCGAAGTTACCGTGGTCTTCTATAAACCCTCTAACTGCTTCGAAAAAATTACGGTCCTTATTCAAAATTTCTTATTTGTAGGAATTATTACGTGCTCTCATACTATATCCCGTAGATATATTCAACGGAAGAACTGGTTGAAGTAGACTGAGTAGAATTTTAATTAGCGATACTGGTATTAAACGGAGTGTTTGAGAAGGTAATACGAATCCGTAAGTGTCGAGGAAAATGTTTACTTGGTTTGTCATAGCATTTGAAAGGGATATTTGGTTATTTTTCATTTCAAACGACTCGGTTCTAAAATTCAAATCTGTTCTTTCTATAGAGGTTACTATGGTTATTCGATTCATCTAATATTCCTAAACTTCACGGCATACACTACCGCTCAAAAGTATCCACGCATTCGCTTATTGTTAGCTACGATATGAAACATTTACAAAATTGCTACAATAATATTTAGTAATTAATAATAAAAAATCTACAGTGATTTCGTTTCTTGTTCTTATTAGCGCCACCTGTGTCACGATAGAGAAATAATTTAATCACGTTGCAAAATTAATTTTCAAATTCTAACATAGTACTATACCTGAGTCTATTTTGGATACGTATCGTGTAAAAATTGAAATAATATACTGAAAATCAGCATATACCATTATTTTGCTCCAAATTTTATACGTCAGTTTAAAACCTGTCAAGTATGTCTAATAATTAATTTATCATTAACCTCCAATTCTAATCTCCTCTTTCTTATAGAGCTCGGATTCTTACGTCACATGGTTGAAGTATTACATTTTTACTGCTTTGAAATCCAGTTTCTCTTTGATTAAAATATTCGTAACTTAATAAAATTTAGCGATAATCGTTCGTCGGATTCGTATGACGCAAATTGGTTAATAACATCCATGTACCAGACCAGAGAGCCCGACTACGTGTACTTATGACCGGTAGTGTACATATCCAAGAGCACGAAACCCTTTGAACGGCTCGAAACGAGCAGCCTAAGCTAAACGCTCGACAGACACGACTTTTCCTCGTCTCTAATTTTAAACACCAGAGCACTCGACGTTCTCGGCCCATTCTACCACTCACCCACCCGAGAACAAATCCGTAGCCAACGTGCATTCGATGGCCGATCGAGAACCGGTGCTTTCCGCGTGACACCGCTTTTCAACTCGCAATGGCAGTCACGCGTGAAACGCATTAGCAGATCAGGTCCAAGGAGCACCTGAATTCCCGTTCGAATCCTCGATGAAAATCCGTCGCGAGAACGCGGGACCAAAATGGCTGCCCACCTTTTGCACACGCCTCTTATCCTCTTTTCTCTCTGGACTTTCTTCGGGTCTTACCTGAATCTGCAACTGGTCCTCTCCCTCTCTCCCTTGCTCTGTCCCTCTCCGTTCAGTCACCACTCGAGCTACCCAAGCAACTTATGCTAGTTTTACCGAGGAAATGAAGCATATCGCGGTTCACATTTCGGATATATGTAGCGCAACACCGGTCGCGTGGTGGAAGAAAGTCTCCATGGTTTGTCACAAGATCGCGTAGTATGGTTGTTTTGCGAAGTCGAGGACGGTTGGGTCCCCGATTAGGGGTTGCTGAGGACGGGTTGAGGTCTTTTAGGGTGTTTGACGAGCGAAAAGGGTCAGTGATAAATAGTGGGAAACTAATTAGATCCGCAGTTCAAAGTAAAAGTGTCTAAGACTCTTTTAGACTCTCATAGCGAGGATCACGTTTATCATAATTCTAGAATTCTGAGTATTATTCTATGCCGTTATCTGATTATAATTCATAGTTTCGAACGTTGTAACACTGGAATGCGGAGTTTAAGATCTAGACCTGGTGTTCCATGATCTATGACCATAAATCTGCGGTCTAAATCTTAAGCTTCTATGTCTGCTATGCTATTCCGGAATTCTAAACTGTGAGGTGTTGGACTTGTGTTTCTTAGACGATCTAAGACCAGTTTCAGGTATTACTCGGTAGATCCACCTGCTTTGGATGATTCTAGGTAGGTCTTTAGTCTTCTCGTGATCCCTAGGTTCTCCAAAGTGAGTCTCATAATCTTCAAGTGTTCCCTGATAAGTCTCAAGACTTCTGAGTAATCCACTGCTATGGAGTCTCATTTCCAGCAATCTTTGGATGTTTCTTGATAGATCTGATACTCTCTAAATGATTCACAGTGGTTCTTTCTGCGTCTGATAACGATAAGGAATTGGATGAATCAGTCTGTAAATACTTAAACAATTAAATCCTATTATTAGATTAATTAATATCTGGAAATGAAGTATCAATCTGAAGTCGATCTTCCTATTTATTATACCGAACGAGTAAAAGTCAGACAATTTTCAAATACAAGATTTCGTTTCGGCATATTTGTTACGTAAATTATGACCATGACCTGAGCCAGCACGTGCATTTGTGAAAGGAATTCTTGTTTTGTGATAGCTCTATAAGTTAATGGTTCAATATACAGAAAATGAAGTGGAATATATTATTCGTAGCATAAGTTAATTATCGATTTAATGTGTCAATAGACGTAACACACTTTCATCGTCTAAGATATAAAATAATGGCAAAAGTTATAAGCACACGAAACTTCCAAATCTTGTGTTTACTATTATAATCGAGCATATCTCGTTATCGTATTCTTGTTTATCATTAAACATTTACTATTGATACAATATTGGACCCTACGCTGTTATCGTATTCGTGTATCTTCCATCGTATAGTCATTAAGCATGTTCATTAAATTCTCAAGCACGTTCTACAAGTAGTACTAACTAAGTATCTGTTAATGAAGCGAAAGTACTTCAAAACAATAGATAGGAAACTTCAAAATCTTTATTCTTCAACTTGCTTCTTCACAGCAAATCACGTAAGTTTAATTTAAGCTCTTCACTCGATTCGATCGTATAATCATAATTTATTTCAACCAAGCTATAAAGAAACTATTTTCTACGTGTACAAAATTTAATCATATTTATATTCCAAAAATAACATGGATACACGCCCTATGGAAATAGCTATCTCCAATGAAATTAATTACGCAAATTAAAAAATAGGAAGAAAAGTTTCCATAACAAAAGTCTACACATATATTGTGCTCTATTACGAGCACATAGAACACAATACAAGCTTATCATAAGCACCCACATCTCGTAATTTTCCACGATATTGATCAGTTGCCATCAATAGCATTCCCGTTCTCTACTATCATCTGTATCGCAGCTATCACAATTGTTCTTATCTTCACTCTAATCACCCACGATAATACTACCACTCTCATAACCATCACTGAGCATATCTCACCGCCATTGCAATTTACCACGAGTAACTAGCTAGTAACTCTTTACACCGAAGATCCAAGGGAACCATGAACTATTGAATATTCCAATCCTCTTTAATCATATCAGCTGCCCTCTCTGCGATCATGATCGTCGGTGCATTAGTATTCCCGGAAATGATCGTAGGCATGATCGACGTGTCGATCACTCGCAGTCCAGCCACGCCGTGCAGCCTTAGCCTAGCGTCGACCACCGCCATCTTGTCACTATCGGGCCCCATTTTGCATGTCCCGGTCGGATGATAGATCGTCATCGTGTAGTACCTAGCGTAACAGCGCCAATAATCGTCTGATAAATACTCGAACGAAGAACAATCGTGAAGCTTGTTTGGATTAGCGTGAGCTTTTAATCTCTTCATTGTAGGGGTTTCCGATATTTTCTGGATGATCTTCGCCGCTTCTACCTGCGTTTGTTAAAAGTTATCCAGTATCAGAATAGAGCAGTGTCAGTTTACCCGTGTTAGTGTTTAGTTTGCTCAGCTAGGTTGACTCGATTGTAAGTGACTAGCAGTTGGTACTAAACGAATTGCTGGTTGTTACTAGAGTTTGGGTTAATTGGATATTAGTTGGCTCGTGTTAAAGATCGATAGCTTTTCAAATTGAAGCCAATTTTCCTTGTTTGCAGATCGATATCGATATTGCGTTAAATATTCTAACTTTGTCCGAAACGAAAGTTCACTAACGTTTATGCGATGTTTATTGCTACACCGCGCACGACGTAACGGCAGGTAAATGAACTTATCTCGAACTAAACAATTGTTACTAATTGGAAATAGTAATGGCACGGATATAATTAAGTAACTATTTAAAATTTAGATTTGCTATTTCTCTGTTTACTGAAATTGTTTTCGTAAATCGACTAATTTTCATTTCGAATTTCAAAATTATATAGCTCGTGTTTCGTTGATAAATATTTTGTAGAATTATTTCTTGTTTTGAAAGAAACTTTTAGTACCATAATTTCGAGATCACGAGGGTCGTCGTAGTAGTTTGGCACGATGATCGGTTGATCGCGAAGATTTTTCGATCGCAGCTTGATGTATCCTCTGCTTCGGGGTCTCAGCAGCAACGGTATGATGGTGTAGGCGTCTTTGTATAGGATTTTTTCAAACAGTTGCGCGTAAATATCGTCCCTAACGTTGCAATCTCTCTTTCCAAACAGGCCACCATCGGTACTGTCAGCCATGGCAGATAGCAACAGCTGTATATCAGGATAATCCTCCGATTTGTTTGCATATCTGTGAACGCGTTTCATTCCTATGATGAATAACACTGGAGTAAATGCTGATTAATAGACGAACAAGTATCAGAATGATCCATTGCCTTGCAATATTGTCGCAATTATTTTCATGTATTATCCCTGATTGCCCCGAATCTCCAATTACTTGCCAGATTTATCCCTCAGGTTCAGAGGTGAAGGATAATTTTAAAGGTAACTCTAACAGAATCTTCAGTGTATCAAGATTACGAAATTAAGAATTTAATTCGGGTAAAGGTGTGTTTAAGGATATTTTTAAAAAATAGAGTAGAATGATGAATTCTTTATGAACTATTGGACAACATCATTTCATGATATCAGAGTCTTCTAAAGATTAGAAGTGTAAATTTTTAAAAATTTTTCCACATTGTTTAAAACTAGTGCCATCACAGCAATCGTGTGTTTTATTTCCTTTTCTCAGAAAATGCCAAGCGTTTAATCAATGCAACGTGCAATATCAAAGAAATTTGGTTACTCAAAGAAGCTTGACGCACACTCATGCTTTATCTTTCGAATTTCACGTAGAACTTCGAAGAATAAAAATTTTTTTATTTATAAATATAAATATCTTTCAAATATCTCGGACGCGAATACTACATGCAATATTATTACGTCATGATACGCATATCATTAATTCGTTGCATTATAACGACGAGTCTAACTCGTTACAAATTCCTAAGGTCTAACTCCACAATAATGACGTATACCAGCCATGTGACTAAAATTATACATAACATGTTTCAAGTCATATGTTTTGTTTTCAAAATTTATGCACGTTCTAATATTTTTGCATAATCTTAGAGTCGATGAAATGACGTATAGTGATGAACTAAAAACAAATATTTTTACAATTAAATCATAATCTAAGGAATTGACAATAATAATAAAAACTAAATTATCAATTGTTATACAAATTCTAGTTTATTTAATACACATCTATCCGCGATGGAATCTCACAGAGAGATCACTCTAAGTCACAGACACATAGTCTCCTTCCCCTTATCTTTCTTATCGATCCTATCTACGTTCTTATACTAACGACTAATTTAAAACACCTATACAAGCGTAATACAAACCAAGAAAAATACCGACACTGCTATTCCATTCGCACTACTGCCAGAAAAGAGGTACTTCCTTAGAAATCGTCAATTTTCGAGTCACCCCTGTATATTGGAACAAACCTCTACCTCTAGCTTGGTTCACGAGCTCAAAACCGCAGCAACCAAATATAAACGGTACAATGACACATTTAAAATGACAAAGACAAAGACACTCACTTGCTATTGACGAAAGCCATGCCCTCAGCTACAGTGGCGGTGTACATGGGACCAGTATCTTCCCTGGCGAATAGCCTAAGCGACTGAGCATTCACAGTCTTCAACAAATTAAAGCTGAAGTCTGGATCCGTGTGGTTTGCCGGTTTTTCCACCAAGTAGGCTATTCCACCGACAGCCACATGGTCCTGAAGATTCATGCCTACGCCTGGGGCATCGTGAACCACGGAGATGTTCAGGTCGCTCAGGTGGTCCTTAGGACCGATTCCTGACAGCATCAGCAACTGTGGCGACTGTATCGCGCCTGCTGATAGAATCACCTCCCGATTCGCTTTCACTGTCTGACGCACGGATCCTAATCGAAATTCCACGCCATAAGCAATTTTTCTGCTTCCATCTGCAAATCAATATCCGTCGATTACGATTCCACCTTTCACTGAATTTGTTACAGCACTCGAACGCTTTTCATGATAGAGTTCTAATTTTAGGGAGTATTTGTTCAATATGGTATTTCCCTTTTTACCTATTCTTACGAGAATGGAAATTTAGAGGAGTGAAAGACGTATGGGAGCTAAAAATTATTCAACCACGACTCTAATCGTTATCCAAATTCTTGCTTCCCTTGGTACCATCAATTCCAGAAACAACTATAAAAATCTTCTAAAGATAATCCCCGAATTAGCTACAATCTGAGATCTAAAGGAAATTATAACAGTACCGTGATAGAATGCAATGTCTGGCTAGTCTTCGCGCGTCAAGGTCGTCTTCAGTTGAAGTTACCGTTCGCAGATAGCGAGCGTCAGGCGTTGGGTGACTATAGCCAACGCTCGTAGCGAAATGGTTAAATTTCGAAATTATAAACGAATTATAGACGAAGAAAGAACCTAAATGTCTAACTCGCCTTGTCGCACCAGGATCTTCTCCACAATCGATCTGGTGCTGATATGTAGATTTTTCCTCCGGGCTGCTGGCCGAAGGAAAGCTTTCGCGGTGCTACATCGCAGACCTTCCCTCAGAGTTCCCGGAGACAATGTGAATCCGGTTTGAGTGGGTCCATTTACGTCCACGATGTCGTAGCCCATCTCTGTGCCAGCTTTTATCAAGTAGTCGGTCACGGACGAGTGGTATCTGAAGTGTTCGATTGTCAAGTGTCCACCGGTCTGGTGGTAAGGCGAATCTTGGTATTCCTTTATTCTTATGTCTTCGGATTTTTTGAAATAAGGCAGTACAGTCTCGTAATCCCATCCTGGGTTACCCATCCTCGCCCACTCGTCGTAATCCTTCCTGTTGCCCCGGATGTAGAGCATCGCGTTCAGTACGCTACTTCCGCCTAGCACCTGGACAGTGATCAATTTATTCTCCGTTTTATTTACTGAAAAATTACATATAGTAGAAAATAAGTTATATATAGGTCTCAGTTTATTATACAGGGTGTCCCAAAAAAACGTATACACACTTTAATATCTTATTCTTTCTAATTTTCTTTCTTTTTCTTTCTGTTTTTGTAATCACGCAAAGTGTGTATACATTTTTTTTCGGACACCCTGTATAAATTTAAAGTTATATTCTCAGGTCTCGGTTTATTATTTTAGGAGATAAATGTACGAGATAAACAAAACGATATTGATACGTGTTGTATGATGTATGGTAATTATGTTGGATTTCATAAATATGTTGCGAATATTTTGCTCAGCAAATAATAAACATCGTTACGCGAATCTTCGTTACAAGGATGAGGGATATTTAGAATGAGTCATGTCTACGAATATGGTGAAATAACACGGTGTCGAATCAAGTACGATATAACGTTACGTAAGTTTCGAGTAACTTGATTTACGGGCAGAATCTAATGCCTGACAAGACGTCTTTAATTAAAATATTACCCAAGTTTGTTTCACGAGTGCAGGCACGAAAATTACACCTATGAACGCTACATCACAATACGTCGCAATACGTAGATATAATATGAAGATTCTAGTTCGGAGGATGTCTTAATAAAAAGAATTTTAATATGACATTTTAATATATAGCACGTAATATCTTCAATTCCCTGGTAATCGACTTACTTTCTCTTTTAGAGAAATTGCAGGTTAACGGAGGGGAAGATAGCGTCTCATCTTCATCTTTTCATTCTGAATTTCTTTAGGATCATTCGGATTGTTTAGACTCGACCAGAAATGGAATCTCGACCAAAAATAACAAGGATAAATAGTAAGAGAATAATTACTTGCCGGAAAAATTACATTCCACGAGAAAAAGCGAGGTAGATTTTTCGCTGACGTAAAGGGTGACTTACGGAGTCATCAAGAGGAGTGCTGAGAGCCATTAGGGTGTCTTCAGTCGAGAGAGAGTTACTTAGTCACACGGAGTTTCATGTTAATCCTTTCGTCCTCAAATTATTTAATAATCACCAACACGTACCTATCATTTATTCGTCACATTACCAGCAAGAGATTCATATAAACGTTATATAGAAATTATTCTTCCTGTTAACCGTCTATGACAATATTATCCTACATCGTCTCTATCACGAATAGACTTCTATCTGCCTATCTAGTAAATAAAAAGGAATAGAAAACAGTACCTTGCCACGTGGCCAGTTGCATACGTGCGCGTTCATAGCCTTGCAGTAATTATTCGATGGTTCCGTTTTGAATTGCCAATCCACGGAGGTAAGCTGAAGAATCGAGAACATAATCGGTACATCAGCCATGTCTGGCTCATCCACGCCAGCCTCCAACAGTAGCACCGACCAGTTCTTGTTCTCCGATAGACGATTGGCCAGCACCGACCCAGCTGAACCACCACCGATTATCACGAAATCATAACTGCTTTGAAGATCCAGTAAATTAATTGGCTTCACCCTGTGATCGTGATCTATGATATCCGACCTGTACATCCCGATCAACATACGCAGAAGCACCAGGAAGCTCAGTTCAGGTCCGTACGACATTGCTATTCTCATCGCAGACATTCTACCGATGCTCGCCATTTTTCCCTCTTTTTCCTTTTAGATAAAGGTTCGGGTAAATGATCGGTAATCTTTTACGAAGAATTAAATTAGACAAAATGTATCTCTTTATGCTGATGCAGCTTTCTGCGTAGTTTTCTGTGATGTTTCTGACGTTTCGGTTGGGCTAGACCTAGTATGGTAGGTTACCGATGTTCCCGAATTCGAATCTTCGTGGATTATGGTTGTTCGAAATTTGTTACTGTTAATACAGAGTATAATGCTGGATATTTGTTTCTTCTTTTTCGAGAATATTTGGAACTTCGGTAATAGTTGGAAATAATTCTTGATAATTTCTCGTAATTTTTGCAAACGAACTGTTCACGTCTTTTCCGGATGGCGTTCCAAATTTCAGTACGATGACTTCGAGGTGTAGATTTTCGTAATCATCATTCGTCCAGGTTATCGTTTCATGAATGGAGAATTGGGAAGTAGTAGCTTTGATTTGTTGGTCTATTAACAACGTGTTACCTGATACCGATGAAACGTTTCCGTGTTCCTCGTAAAGGTCTCCTGTTATTAAGGTGTTCTCTGCGGAATAATTGCTCTTATATTTATTTGATAATGTTTTAAATTCTGTTACGTCAACGACGACACGTGTCCAATCAATTCCTGAAGCATTCGACGATTATTTGTATTGTTTCTCGGTGAACAAATTGTATGTCACTCGAAGATAAACATATCACGTCGATACCGACGAGAGTTATGCTTTCCAGGTTGTTTTGCAAGGTCGATGGTCAATTTAAAAATGCAATACATCTCATTTGTTGTGAATTTCAATGACTCGATATTGCGGATTTAATCAACATATTCATGAGATACTCCATTTACTGCTTCGCGTACTGACGCAACCTAATTTTGATTATCTACTCGAGTGACGTCGAATTAAATGCACGAAACAAGATAATTTGTTGCAAATCGCTCGTTGCCATCGGATTTTCGTATATTGTTCCGTGAAACCGAAACTATAGACGCGGTTGGAAATTATTACGAAATGTTGATCTAGGTAAATTTTCTATTCATATTTTATACGTCATGCTGGAATATATAATTGAATATATAATCAATGAAATAAATTGAAAGAAGTTTAGTTTTAAATTGAAATTACTTTTCATCCTTTATTTATTATAACATTCTTTTAATTAGAAAATCGTGTAAATATTTTAGGAATAAAATACAATATTTCAAAGGTGACTTGCCCCGAAAATAAACGAGATGTATCAAAATTAGGTACTCTCGTTCAGGTTTTCGGTATCTTAAAGTTTTAATGATTATTCATTCTAACATAAACAACATTAAAAACTATCGAAAGTGGTTCAGGAAATGTTCAACATTTATAGAATTCCATACACCTAGGTAGATAAAAAACATTTATTTTTTAATATATTTTTTTATAAAAGCAACTTTCTGTTATTCGAAAAAGTGTATTCGTGGCTAATTTTTTTTTTTTTTTTCTTTTTGAGAAATTAGAAAGTTACATTAGCTCGAGAGCACATAAGATATAATTGATCTATTTTCTAACAAAAAGTGATTCTTAAATCAAACAAAGTAAAAAATTTCATTATTCTCCATTTAAAAAATTATATACACATAATTTAGGAAATTATAGTTGTTTTCAAGATAATAATTTTTTAATGTCTTGATAACTCTTTCTATGGAGAAACAATAATGTTCAGAACTCTCTTCTATATACAAAAAAAAATTATGGCGATGTCGAGAAAATACATTTTTACCATAACAAATAACCATAATTCCCTATGGAAAGAATCATGTAAAATTTCCATCAAATCAATCCGATATTTCTTACAATTCATAATTGCATAATCATAATTTTTCTATCCATAGCTACCTATCTATAAAATTCTTAATTTAAAGACTTCTAATGCAAAACACTCTTCAAGACACTGGAAAATAGAACACTTTCGAATAGCAATATTTTCAGAAAAACGATCATTCGATTTCACCTACGTGTATATAGTCGATGTAAACGAATTCTCGATAAACTTATATGCATGTAAAAAACCTATACTTCACGCACTATATCGAGTAACGATGATGTTTCGACAAATCGCAAAAGTCAACTGGCTATGTGAAAACGTAAGACGTCATGATGTTATTACGCGTCGCTGAATCAGCTGTTTTATAGATACATACGAATGTTGGAACGCGATTTTTGCAGCGTTCCACAATGTCCACGTGAAATATTAGTACCTAACGACGCGCTTAAGACATAAAAGATACTCGACGATGTAACCGACTTAGATTTATTCGACAGATTTAGATCTAACGTCGGATTACATATAACAGCAGATTCGATAGCTGGATATAACTCGAGTCGATTTATTCGTGTCGTTTGTTACAAAATTTTCTGCATTCGTACCACTTTTACAGGTGTAATATTTACACGCGAAAGAAACATTTGCATTATTGTAGTATTCGCGAAATATATCGTACTTTGTTATTTCCAGGTTATATATGTGTTAATGAGATGAAAATATTTCCTTTATGTAAAAATTAAAGGGAACTTTCTCCAAAATAATTATTCTTCTACGCTAATATTATATTTTCTGCTCTTTTTCTTTTAAGATTCGTAATCTACGATAATAATATTGGAAAATTAATAAAAATGAAGTAAAGTTGGTTCATTTTCAAATTATGAAATTAAAAATGATCGGTTTTCGAATAATTACAATTACCATAATGCAGGAACTATTTCTCGTGATAATTTCTGAAAGCAACGTTCTTACAATATCGATTGCACATGATTTTTCAGAGAAAAAAAAATGTCAGCTTTGACTATCTCTAAGCTCAAAAAAGCTGCTAAATTATATTAATTTTAAGCCAAACACAAAAATTAGTATATTAGGCATGTCTCTAAAGTCGCAATTTTCTCTACAGACAAATTTTGCAAACAGGACACTGAAAATTAGCAGTGATTAATTGTTTCAGCACCAACAGCTTAACTTAAAAAGCTTCGTCTATACGTAACAAAACTTCGCGTAACTTTATACCACCGTCAACTCAGTTATACTGATACCTCTAGTCTTATCTCACAACGTCTATACTTAATATTTATAACTGTTCAATTCACGAAATACTAGGCGTTCCGATTCATGCTACCTAACTCTAAACTTAACGAAAATTCGAAATTACAAGTTTCTTTTAAATAATCACAAAATCACTTTGCTCCAATGACGCGTCCGTTCATCCCCGATCCCGTTTCTTCAGCCAGAACTCCTTTATCATATCAGACCCTTTCTCTCCGATCATGATAACCGGTGCATTAGTATTTCCACTGACTAAATTTGGCATAATGGACGCATCGATGACTCGAAGTCCAGTGACCCCGTAAACTCGAAGCTGAGGATCAACCACAGCCTCTGGGTCCCAATAAGGACCCATCTTGCAGGTGCCCACCGGGTGGTAAACAGTCGCGGAATAATGCCTAATCATGCACTCCCAATAAGGATCGCTGTACATAGTGATATGCTTGCAACCTGGATATTGCTTCGAATTCAATTCACTGCCAAAACGTCTAAACGTCGCGGTTCTACTCAGAGCGACCCCTATCTTGACTCCCTCGATCAACGTCGCGATATCTTCCGGCTCCTTGAAGTAGTTCGGGTAAATCAGCGGATGGTCGAAAGGATTCTTGCTCCTGAGCTTGATAATCCCTCTGCTTTTCGGCCTCAAAAGCATGGGAATCACGCTCCAGACGTCTTTATCGTTAATGGATCCAAACACAGCGTCGTAGAACCTCTTCGTTAGCCCGTGAATCTTCCTGAGGTGTCTACCTCCGTCAGAGTTCGTCGAACCCGATATGAAATGCAGCTCTATATCCGGGTAATCGTCAGAGGCGTTCACGTACTTCGTGTTGACTAAGGCTAGACCCTCGACACCGCCTAGAACTGTCAAAGGACCATCGCCGAAGATAGCGTACTGCATCACTACCTGAACATTGTACAGTCTCTTCTCCACCACCGAGATCTCTTTGTTCACCATGAACGCCAGACCTCCTAGTCCGACGTGGTCTTGGAGATTATAGCCGACCCTTAGGTCCTGGATCACCGGTATTCCATGCTGCAAGAGGTCTTCCTTAGGTCCTATTCCCGACAGCATCAGTAGCTGCGGGGAGTTCACCGAACCTGCTGAAACGATCACCTCCTTCTTGGCGCGGATACGGAACATCTGTTTGTTCCTGACGAACTCCACTCCGTAAGTTCTCTTGGATTTCGGGTCGATTAGAATCTTCGTGACGTGAGCGTACATGGCCACGTGTAGGTTCTTGCGCAACCTGGCTGGTCTCAGGAAGGCCTTCGCTGTGGAGCATCGACTTCCGTGTCTGATGGTTCCCTGGGCTATCATGAACCCAGTCTGCTGCTCCCCGTTGATGTCCCTGTTCTCGTAACCCATTTCCTGGCCGGCTTGAACGAACGCAGTAGCCAGAGGAGTGTGCCATGGCGCTTCTTGCACGGTTAGGTACCCTCCAGTTGCGTGATAAGGTGTGCGAGCTAGGTAGGGGTTCCGGTTGTCTTCCGACTTCTTGAAGTAGTGGAGAACGTCCCTGGAAGACCATCCCGGGTTACCTTGCTGCTCCCACAGGTCGTAGTCCTTCTTGTTGCCTCGGAGATACAGCATATAGTTCAACACACTGCTCCCACCGATCACTTTGCCACGCGGCCAGTTGCAGCGACCATTCTCCATTGCTGTAGAAACAAATTGGCAGGTAGAGTGATGGTGTATGGAAGTTACGAGTGGATATTGATGGATCTGATGAATGTCTTATTAGATTCAGTTAGAGACTCGTTCTTTGATTTACGGTAGTAAATCTTGTTAAAGTTGATAGCAGGTGATGTATGAGTGCTGCAGAAAGCCTGCTAGTTTAGGCATCACTATGATCCCTGTCTTTTGTTTTTTGTTACATATTTATAAGCAATTGGAATAATCATTATGTAAGATAATTTATTTGCTTAAGTAATGCACGTAGTACTCGCTCGGAGTGAAGACTTCTTTCAGCCATATATTAGTTCTGCTAGCCATAGGTTGTGATACGAACAGATATATTATTTCCTTTTTTCTTAAATTCGACCTTTTCAATGAAAATAAATTTTCAGTCCGATAGTTTTTATTAATTAGCTAGAAGTTCATTGGTTAATTAAAATTCGGTACTGCTTTGGAATTAGAGACAGGTTAGGGTGGGTATTAGGTCGAGATGATTATCGTAGCTACTGGGAGTCTGTTATTCACCTAGACAGGCGTCTCCATCGGGTTCCGTCTTGTACTGCCAGTCGAGTTGGCTCAGTTGCAGATAGCCAGCAAGAAGAGGAACATCGGAGATTTCCGTTTCATCGCCTCCAGCTTCCAGGAGTAGCACGTTCCAATTTTCTATCTCTGATAAACGACTCGCCACTACCGCTCCTGCAGCGAAAGTTTATGCGATCGTGATACAGATTTATGAACAATAATAGCACCAGTAAAGTATCAATCTTATGGACAATAATAAGTACCGAATCCTAATTATAATTCTGAAATGAAACTAAACTTCTTTTATATACCTAAAATTTTTTGTTTGTTTTAATATATGTTTAAAAAATGCCAGTTTATATAAAGAAAGCATGAATTGAAGTTTTATTAATTTTGAAGAACTTTTTCCAGTTTATCGAGCTTTCTTTAGTAGTAAACCTACCATGGCCTACGGGACCATTTTTTAAATCATCATTAAGAATTCTGTACTCCAATGTTATTGTCATAATTATTCGTTTTCGTGGTTCCTCTTCCCATATACTTAATCAATTTTTCAAAGTCTCTCGTTATTCCACTTTTCCACAGCTTTACTTCGTCTTCAATCACCTGTCTTTTAATCTTGGTAGGTTTGGTATTAATGATTGATTGATTCGTGAAGGTTTGATAAAATAATTATTAATTACGATCATTTTTCTCAGTCATTTCTGGGATTACTGAAGCATGGAAGAAATATTTCATGAATGGAATAGATTGCAATTTCTTAAAAAATCGTGAAAATCTAAATGTTACGAGTGAAATGCAGCGAAACTTGTTAAGAATTTTTTTAAATAAGAACAGTGGAACTGTGCACCTGATTTCGACCGGTCTCTAGATCTATCTCTGAGACGCGAGATTTTAACGGAAGCGGAAGTATCTCGAATAACAACGTAGATATAAGAACAGTTTCGGAAAAAATGTAAATTGGAAAATAAAATGATAAGTCTTTAATCTTAACCACTACCAGTGGTTCCAGTACCATCTCGAGGCTTTAAAATATTTCATAATCATCAGTAATGTAATAATTTAACTTTTAAATAATCATCAGCATAGTGACGTGTACAGTAGTAATAATATACTAAAAATATTAGTAGTAATAATATATTTTTTTCGCAATTATTACCATAACTAGTATTTATAATTATTACTAATTTTTAGTTTCTACATTTACATTAAACCTACCATAACCAGTCAAATGACTAGTAGATGAAGAAATAAAAATAAAATAAAATAAAATAGAAGAAATAAAATATGAAAAACTTAGGAAAAATCGGGAGATATTGAAAAATTGATTAGACCTGAATTTAGAAAAAGATTGGAAAGACAGCTGATCGAAGTAACAATGTCGAATGCTAAATTTTTAATTAAAAGTTTGAAAACCATCAGTTCAAGATTAAAAACCACCAGAGCCCGATTAGTGTCAATTATTAATAATAAATACTAATATGTAATATTAATGCAGTACCTGCGGAGCCAGATCCCACCACGATAAAATCGTAAGACGGCAGGAGTATTTCGGAAGGTATATTAATCGGTGGTGCTTCATTATCCATTACTTCGTATTGGAAATAGACTAGTGCAGCCGCGAGCACTGGAAAGAACCATGAGAGTCCGGTTGATACCGAGGTTAAACCTCCGGTTAAAACGCTCTCGATCTCCATCTTGTATTCCTATGATTCCCTCTATCGATCGTCTGTAATATCAAGGTGCTTTGGATTATTGATAAATTCATTCAGAAATTAGAATTTATAAATTAATAGGAAGTTATTAATAGACACGTCTAAGCGATGCTAATAGAGTTCCAATCGTTGTCTGCTTTAATTTAAATGGATGTACAAGGTATTGTCAACTCCTTTAGAGATTTATATCGATGATCGATTTTATAATACGCAAAAATATAGGAGCATCGTAGATTTATTTTCATTTTATTTCACCTTCGAAATTATTTTCTCAACAGATCACATGGGGTTGTTCAAAGAAATATTATTTAATTTCTGGACACCATAAAGGGTCATTTAAAGAACAATAGAATTCGAATTAGGTTATTAATTATGTATCGTATTATAAATATGATAATTAAAATTGAAATTAAATTATTGAAAATATGAAAACGTATTGGACTTTCATACTCTACCGTTTAAAAATTTAGTAATTTGTTATCACTTGAACTATCGACCTTTAATGAGTACCTAAACGTAGCCGGCATAGATGATGCAATTTTACTGGCACGATGAAAATAAGTAACTATATTAATTACACTGCTATCTCGATATGACTCAACGCTAATTTCTTGAAAATCAGGTATATGTTTTTAGTAATTACAAAAAGGAAAATTCTGAGACCAATCATTTTAATTGGATTAATGGTTCTAGTATCAAATACGAGTACTGCAACGCAGTAATTCTATCTTGAATTTCACAACTGTGTTGATTCACGTCTCAAACTTTCTTTCCAAGTATTCCACGATTTGCCAAAAACCATTATATCTTCTAAATCAGTCTATAATATCGGTCACATTCATCTAACATTAACCCATCGAATTCCCATAAAGTCTATACTCCATATTCGTATCACTCCTGTTCCTTCGCCAATTGCATCCCCCAAACTACTCCCTTCTCATTCAACGACGAATAAAATAAAGATTGGACCTTCCCAAATCGGTGTCAATTTTCTTACAAACACCATCCGTATTGTAGACAAAATCGTTGGTATAGACTCGCTACCGCGTCCTCTTGGTCGTTCATGGGGGGTGACCGTCTTGGTCGAACTGTCCCTCGATACTGTGGAATAAAAACCGATTCGCAGCCACGTAGAAATCGGTCGAAGAAAAATCAGAGACGTGGTACACGTGGGTGAATCGCACATGAGCGGAATATCAATGACACGTGAAACTTTCAGCTGTTAAGTAATTCTCTATTAACGCGGTCAGCATGGCCACGACGATCCTCACGTATGTGCTATGGCTAAAACTTTCCGCAAATTGAGATCGTGCTATGAATTTCACGAGAACGTGTGAAACCAGGCTGTGCAAATACGTTTCTTCGAATACTTTCGATCAAGAATGTCAGGTTTCTAGGGTAAAGTTGAGCCTCTCGTGTCAAGCATCACTGAGTCATAGGTATTGAGTCACGGGGTAACATAAGCTGGATTATTTAATTTTCATTCGTATTTTGTATTTTTATAATAAGCTGTCAACTCTTGGCAGTGGTGTTTCTTAGGCATCCTTTGTTTTGATACCTTGAAGCTTAAGTTGAGGACACGAGGCGATAATTAAAGGTGGCTTCAGGTGAAATATTCAGACGAGATGCATGTAATTTTATTTTCATTTCAGCACGAAAGGTGTCAACGAGATTAGGAATATACGAGGAAAGCTTCGAATTGTTATAAATTTATAGAGAAACAATTTTGTGCAATGTGCAAAGGGTTAACTATTATGTTTCATATGATGTATGAAATGAGAGGTTATATTGAATACCCAAAATTATCGATGCTAATTTAATTCGTTGTCGTTATTTGGGAACCAGTAATTCCAGCATTCGTTGATTTCCTGTTTTATTTGAGGGATTGAGAATTGCGTGTATGTGAAACTTCGACGTTTTTAGAAATTGCGAAATATCTATCAAAAGTTTCTTTGTTATTAATTAAATAAAATATGTTGGGAATTGTATATAATATATACGTGAAATTTTGCCATCGCCAACAATTAATTGGAGAGAATTGTTAATGCAGCATGTCTCAATTATATCTGTCGAAAGTCTTTTTATTATTCTTGCATAAAATTGATTGGAAATCGTGTATAATATATACATGAAACTTTGGTAATGTTAAAAATTAATTTAAAAAATACTTTAATACACGTATCTTTTTAGTGTCTATAGAAAGTGTTGTCCATGTTGTCAAAAATGTTCACCTTTAGATACAAAATTCGTAATATCATTAATTCATAAATTCAATAATTTGATAATAGACAAAATTCATTTATTAATTTGTAATATTAATAGATTCTTCTATTATACGTTTGCAATACTTGCACAAAGCTGTCTTCCCTTCGATAATTGCGACAAGTACATTTTTAATATATCTTTTACATAACATAATTACTATCCACGATGAAATTATACTTATTGCTAACCGGATTTTGATATTATTTTATAAGCTGCAACTGCATTTCTGTCAATTATATTCGATTACGCGATACCATAATCACGTCGCGAATTTTTATGCGATCCAGAGGAAATTGCAAGTTTGTCAACGCAGTCTGCTATTTAATTCGGAAGCCCGCTGCTCCGTTTAGTCCGAATCAACGGGGTTGCATTGTACAAACTACCAGCTAAACGAGGTCAGGCCCACAGTACGGACCATTATTATTTGCATGGTAAAACGAAGTCATGCGAGCGATAACCAACTTTTCTCGTCTGTCTTTTGTATTCTGGGTTTCTGTGCCGTCGCCTTGTCGTTTATAATTTAAAAGCTCCGTTTTGTGATAATTCCTGATTCGGCTTTTTGTCACGTATCGCCGCAATTCTCTCTGACGTATTTTCATCGTCAGAGAGGTTGTTACACGCGGAGCAACGGAGAAATATTCAACAATTAGTGATACAGAAATTAAAAGTAACTTTGCGTTAGATACCATCGTTAGAAATTGGAAAACGTTAGAAAGTGAAAATTCGAACTCTTTAATTTTCATTCTGTTGGGAATTTTAATTAATTCTCTGTTTTCTCTAATATTTTCTTTTTTTCGTTTTGCGTTTAATGGTCTACGTATTTATAATTACTTATGAGATAATTGTGTGAAATGTTTGTTAAATTAGAAGAATCAATGAGCGACTTATTTTGTATAAATTGGAAGAAAGTGACGTTTAAGGGTTGATTAGGTAATAGGTATTTTGATATAGGTGAAGACATTAAACTGGTTCAGTTCGATGGAGGTTATTCGTAGTTTACCCGGTACATTGGAGATGATCAATAGCTGTCAAATGTAGACAATTCTGAATACATGGAATTAAACGGAAATATCCCCAGACCTGAGATACTCGATAGGAATATATTCATGAGATTCAATAGATCTAACTCTATACCTAACCTATCCTAACCTATTGTCGTATCCATTATTTACTCCCATTTTCGATCAAATCATTTTCCTAACATTGTTAAAATACATTTAAATTATACCCTCGTAAAAAATTCCAATTTCCAATAATTATTTCACTGAAAAATATTTTAATTAATTTATTTGATCAAAATAATTGAAACATTGTGAAAGTAGTAATAAATAATCGTCATTTATGTTATTCATATGATATATTTCAATTTTAATTTTATTAATATACTTTAGCAAAATAATTTACATTGTTCCTCTTCATAAGATAATGAATTCCATTGAAAGAAATTGGAAATTAGGAATACGTGAAAATAAAAATGGAAGAAATTTTGTAGCTACGAAATCATGCTAGGCATCGATTCTGTGCATTCTGGCAAGGATACAAATTTTGCGTTCGATGGAGGATTAATGTGTTTGAAAAGGAAAGCAGTACTTGCTCACCTACTTCCAGGAGACAGTTAGATCACGTCGAGTCTAGAAGCTTCCTTTCTTCTAAATGATCGATACACTTCGAATTTCTATCACGAGTCCGTGTTTCAGGAACAAGATTCTGGTCTCGACACTAGGTATTGGCTATCAGTCTTTCCCACAGCCCACATAACGCGTGATTCATTACAGTCTAACGGGAATCATATTGGACTGTGAATCTTCTTAACTCCTCATCAATTGTAACACACAGTCAATCCACGATTTACTCAAACGAAATTACTCTTTCATAAATTCTTCCTGACCTTCCTTCGTTCACTGATCTCGTAACTACCTTAATCCTGTCCTCTGCCACATCATCTTTTCACTTCTAATTCTAAGAGAATCTTTTCAGGAAACGTGCTTATAGATCTCTAAAACCCTTCAGCTACTCTAACACTTCAAAATAATTAAATAAATTATCTTAGAAATAATTCTTCGTAAATAAATAAACAATCAATCCTCTCCTAAAGCTCCTAGATCCCTCGACACTGGTTCCTGTCAACCGTTTTCAACACGAGCTTCTCAAAATAAATAAAGATTCGTCACAGAACTGATCTTCAAGAACTGATGCACTATAAACGCATGGTTCAAACTTTATACTCAAAACAGAAGTCCAACTCTTCACAACTCTAAGTTTTTCACTGAATTTGAATTCCATGCATCAACAACTCCTTGGATCACTACCAAAGTTGATCTTGGACCACTATCGAACTATCTTTACAGAAGATCTGAAAATGTTTCTTCGGATACTCTTGTTCTAGATGTCACAGGTTTGAAAATTCTCCTGAGACCTCGATAGAATCGTTTGCCGAGGAAGGACAAAACTGGAGGGTTCGCCTAACGATGTGACAACCGGCCTGAGGACGGTGTAACACTGACCATGAACTTGCTGCTGCCACGAGTATCCGCATACTGGATCCATCGAGATCGGAGTACCGGAGAACGAACAGGTTACGAAGCTTTTGAAGCCGAACACGCCATATAACGGTCCTCTACTTCCCTCCTCTCCTGCGGCCTCCCGTCAACGACCGTCGTTCTCTTCCGGCTCGCCTCATAGAAATGGAACTTCACGCATTACGTGGAATCTCGTGGACATAGGGATCACTGTCGCTTCACGGCACGTTCAATTTTTCGGTCACTGGAATTCTTCGTCGGATAACGGATAGTGAAGACCCACATTCGAACTGGAAGGAGAGAATGATAGGGAAATGGAAGATGTACTGAGTGTTCTAAGATATAGATAGAAATAATTACTGAAATTTAAATAATTTCGTATGGAAACTAATTTTTCGATTTATGGTGTGACAAAATCTTCGGATACATTCACTGCATCTATAGGCTCTTGCACTACGCAAGTTATACATAGGGTAAGGCCAGTGATTCTAGGACTGCATTTTTTCCCAGAATCACTGGTAGAACTTACCTGCGAGGAAATTTTTTAGTCGGTCCCTTGACTTATGACCAAATTTTTGTTTGTGTAATTTTGGTGTACGATAGTTGTTGTACTGCGAAAGCGACCTATACGAAAAATTTCGCGATTCTAGGATTGTTATTTTTTCGTGCAATCGATGTTAGAACTTACCTTAGAAGAAAACCTCAGGCTAATATACTAACGTTATTACTGTAGCATATTTTTAGGGTTCAAGAGTGAGTTCGTGGGAATGCTTGGACAGTTACTGCAGCATGGGAGATAACAAATAGTGGCCTCGGTTTCGGCTCCAGCGTTCTGGGTGACATTTAGAATGTGTATGGAAGGAAAAATGAAAGGGCATAAGGATGTATGAACGGAATATTCAATATTTCTGCCTTGTTATATCGCCGTCTTTGTGACGCTCTAAAAAACGAACCGCAATTCGTACGCCCGCGCAAATCACACGTGTGATACACGGGCATGCTGCCATCACAACGAACTAATCCGCACTCGATTCGGCCGACCTCGAAAAATCTCAGTTCGCTCGTGGTTTATCCGGCACAGATTGGTTTCCTTTCTTACCGACCGAAAAAGCTCGGGTCGGCGAAAGCTCACTTTGATCACGCAAGCTCGTAGATCACGCCGTAAGCTCTTACCTGTCAAGATCTGGACTCTCAACCCGCGCTTGCAAGCTCAGTGCAGCGGTTGAAAGTTTGGAGAGTAAGTTTATTCTGTCGTGTTATATCTCCGTGTTTGTGACGCTCTAAAAGACGAACCGCGCTTCGCACGCCCGCGCAAATCACACGTGTGATACACAGGCCTCCTGCCATCACAACGAACTCATCCGCACTCGATTCTTCCGACCTTCAAAAATCTCTGTTCGTTCGTGGTTTATCTGGCACAGATAGGTTTCCTTTCTTACCTACCGAAAAAGCTCGGGTCGGCGAAAGCTCACTTTGACCACGCAGGCTCGTAGATCACACCGTAAGCTCTTACCTGTCAAAATCTGGACTCTCAACTCGCGCTTGCAAGCTCAGTGCAACGGTTGAAAGTTTGTACAGCACGTAAATACTGTCGTGTTATATCTCCGTGTTTGTGATGCTCTAAAAGACGAACCTCGGATCGCACGCCCGCGCAAATCACACGTGTGATACTCAGGCCTCCTGCCATCACAACGAACTCATCCGAACTCGATTCGGCCGACCTTGAAAAATCTCAGTTCGCTCGTGGTTTATCCGGCACACATAAGTTTCCTTTCTTACCGACCGAAAAAGCTCGGGTCGGCGAAAGCTCACTTTGACCACGCAGGCTCGTAGATCACACCGGAAGCTCTTACCTGTCGAAATCTGGACTCTCAACCCGCGCTTGCAAGCTCAGTGCAGCGGTTGAAAGTTTGGAGAGTAAGTTTATTCTGTTGTGTTATATCTCCGTGTTTGTGACGCTCTAAAAAACGAACCGCGCTTCGCACGCCCGCGCAAATCACATGTGTGATACACAGGCCTCCTGCCATCACAACGAACTCATCCGCACTCGATTCGGCCGACCTTCAAAAATCTCTGTTCGCTCGTGGTTTATCTGGCACAGATAGGTTTCCTTTCTTACCGACCGAAAAAGCTCGGGTCGGCGAAAGCTCACTT